TTGAAATTAAAATAGCAATACTTTAACATGTAAGTTATGCAAATATTCAAAGTCAATGAACCATGACTGAAGGTACAGGGCTAAACAATCTCCATGGAAATGAGATGTGCCAATGCTAATACAACTGCAAACCAAATTCCATTGACTTTTCATAAGTCGTTCCCTTTAAACAAACCTAAACACACACATTAACTTGTAAACTATGTAAAAGTTTCAAAGTCAATGAACCATAATTAGGGGGTGGGGTTATATAATCTCAATGGAAATGAAACTTGCAAATGCCAATACATTTGCATACCGAATATCATTGACTTAACATTAGTGGTTCATCTTGAACTGACCTAATCACAAACCAATACATGTAAACTAAGCAAAAGTTTCAAAGTCAATAGACCATGACTGGGGGTAAGGACCAAATATTCTCCATGGAAATGAGATGTGCTAATGCTTATACAACTGCATACCAATTATCATTGACCTACCACTAACAGTTACCTTTAAACTGACCTAGTCACAAACTAATACATGAAAACTAAGCAAAAGTTTCAAGGTCAATAGACCATGAATGAGGGGGCGGGGCCAAATAATCTCCATGGAAATGAGATATGCCAATGCTTATACAACTGCATACCAAATATCATTGACCTACCACTAGTGGTTCCCCATAAACTGACCTAATCACAAACTAATACATGTAAACTAAGCAAAGTTTCAAAGTCAATAGACCTTGACTGAGGGGGCGGTGCCAAATAATCTCCATGGTAATGAGATGTGCCAATGCTAATACAACTGCATACCAAATATCATTGACCTACCACTAGTGGTTCACCATGAATTAGACCTAATCACAAACTAATACATTGTTGACGCCGCCGCCGGAAACAGCATACCTATGTCTGGCTTTTTGACTCCGTCAAGGCGAGACAAAAATGGGATCACATGGAAAATATGAAAAAAATTTATCATGGCTGCAACTGTAAAGCAAAATATTGTCCTATGCCACAAGACAATATTTCATGACTATGTATCATGAAATATTGTCCTCATCTAGTCATAAAGTCCAGAGAAGGACAAATTTTCATTGTGAATTGTCTGTATAAAGACAATATTTCACAGATGAATGCTATGAAATTTTGTCCTGTTAAAGGGAGGTAATATTTTGTGTTTATTAAGACAATATTTCATAGACCATGTAGACAGATTGTCATGAAATTTTGTATCATGAAGGGGAGGTTATCAACATATATCATGTTGGATAATGATATCATTTAAGTGTTTTCTTTGATTGACAATAACAAATAAACACAAATTAATAAATCGATACAGGTATAATGATAACTAGTTTTGCTCATCATTGTTGGCAAGTTTTGACAAGAAAACGAATGATTTCACGTAAAAAACTTGTAATTCATGAAGATAAATTTGAAAGGCCGATGTATCTATGTCATATAGAAAGTGTAAAAATCTGCATGCTGCATGCTTTTGTACTGTTTTTAATTTTGTAATAATTTGATTAAGAAATGTTTTCATGGACAGTCATAATCTCATAGTCAACATATTATCTTCCATGAAATATTGTCCGTCGGACAAAATTTTATATAAAATATTGTCCGCAGACACTATTTCATAGTAAAATATTGTCATGGACAGAATTTCATAGTGAAATATTGTCCATAAGGAGGTGACAAAATTTTATGGCCAAGGACACTATTTCATAATGAAATATTGTCCTGGACAGTATTTCATTATGAAATAGTGTCCCAGGACAATATTTTATATGAAATTTTGTTCGACAGACAATATTTCATGGGGGACAATATTTTATGTTACACAGCAACTCAACTACTGATGAAGTCGAAGGGACTTTAGGTTTGCACTCTGTCTGTCTGTCTGTCCGTCCGTCTGTCCATCTGTCAGTTTGGCAAATCAGTTTTCCAGACTTTTTTTCTTCATGCTTGAAGATATTGATTTGATATTTGGTGTATTGTTTTATCATGACAAGTTACAGGTCAAGTTTGATTTTCACAATTTTAGCTTTTCTCCTTGTTCAGTTAAAGCCCTTTCCCTAGAATTTTGTGGTCGTATATTGGTATGACGTTGGCGTCGTCGTTGTCGTAGTCGTCCTGCGTCGTCCGAAGACACATTGGTTTTCGCACTCTAACTTTAGTTTAAGTGAATTGATCTCTATGAAATTTTACCACAAGGTTCAATACCACAAAAGGAAGGTTGGGATTGATTTTGGGGGTTATGGTACCAACAGTAAAGGAATTAGGGGCCAAAAAGGGGCCAAAAATAAGCATTTTTGTAACTTCCAGACATAACTTGTGTGTTAGTGTATGGATCTCTCTGACATTGTACCACAAGGTTCCATATCACAAAAGGAATGCTGGGATTGATTTTGGGGGTAATTGCCTCATAATTTTAGGAATTAGGGGCCAAAAAAGGGGCAAAAAACAAGCATTTTTCTAGTTTCATGACAATAACTTGTGTGTAAGTGTATGGATCTTTCTGAAATTGTACTACAAGGTTCCATATCACAAAGGGAAAGCTGGAATTGAGTTTGGGGGTAATTGCCGAAACGTTTAGGAATTGGGGGCCAAAAAGGGGCCAAAAATAAGCATTTTTATACGCCCGTTTACAGACAATAACTTGTGTTCAAGTGTATGGATCTCTCTGAAATTGTACTGCAAGGTACCATTCTACAAAGGGAAGGCTGGGATTGATGAGGGGGGTAATTGCCTCAATATTTTAGGAATTAGGGGCCAAAAAGGGGCAAAAAACAAGCATTTTTCTAGTTTCAGGACAATAACTTGTGTGTAAGTGTATGGATCTTTCTGAAATTGTACTACAAGGTTCCATATCATGAAGGGAAAGCTGGGTTTGAGTTTTGGGGTAATTGCCCTAAATGTTTAGGAATTGGGGCCAAAAAGGGGCCAAAAAACACATTTTTCTAGTTTCCAGACAATAACTTGTGTTCAAGTGTATGGATCTCTCTGAAATTGTACTGCAAGGTACCATACCACAAAGGGAATGCTGGGATTGAGTTTGGGGGTGATGAATCATAAGGGGGTTCAAAAAATTTGGGGGGGGGGGATTTTTTTTTTTTCCTTTTTTTTTGCTTTAAAAATATCCATTTTAAGTTGGTTATTTCTGATTTATATTTAAAAGCAAATAATAATGATATGGTAGGAGATACACACCAAACAGGATGTGTAAATTATTATATAATAAGTATTGTGCAATAGCAAGAAATTTTCAATTGCACAGTATTGCACAATAGCAAGAAATCTTCAATTGCACAGTATTGCGCAATAGCAAGAAATCTTCAATTGCACAGTATTGCGCAATAGCAAGAAATATCCAATAGCACAATATTGCGCAATAGCAAGAAATTGTCAATTGTACAGTATTGCGCAATAGCAAGAAATATTTAATTGCACAGTATTGTGCAAAAGAAGATACTTCGTATAAATTGCTTATTTCTTGACCAATTTCAATGGGGTTTTATTCTTGAATTCTTGGGGTTCTTTTATATGCTGAATCTAACCGTGTATTTAGTTTTTGGATTTTGGGCCCCGTTTTTAAATTGGTCCACATTGAGGTCCAAAGGGTCCAAAATTAAACTTTGTTTGATTTCATCAAAAATTTAATTAGTGGGGTTCTTTGATATGCCGAATCTAACCGTGTATTTAGATTCTTAATTTTTGGTTCCGTTTTCAAATTGGTCTACATTAAGGTCCAAAGGGTCCAAAATTAAACTTAGTTTGATTTCAACAAAAATGGAATATATGGGGTTCTTTGATATGCTGAATCTAAACATGTATTTAGATTTTTGATTATGGGCCCAGTTTTCAAGTTGGTCCAAATCGGGGTCCAAAATTAAACTTTGTTTGATTTCAACAAAAATTGAATATATGGGGTTCTTTGATATGCTGAATCTAACCATGTATTTAGATTTTTGATTTTTGGGCCCCGTTATCAACTTTGTCCACATTGAGGTCAAAAGGGTCCAAAATTAAACTTTGTTTTATTTCATCAAAAATTGAATTCTTGGGGTTCTTTGATATGCTGAATCTAACCATGTATTTAGATTTTGGATATTGGACCATAATAGGTGAATGTCCAATTTAAAATTTTTAAGTTCTTAGACCACATTCATTCTGTGTCAGAAACCTATGCTGTGTCAAATATTCAATCACAATCCAAATGCAAAGCTGTATCAAGCTTGAATGTTGTGTCCATACTTGCCCCAACTGTTCAGGGTATGACCTCTGTGGTTGTATCAAGCTGCTCCCTGCGGAGCATTTTATTTAACTTTCCCTAGAATTAAATTTTTGATGAAATACTTATTAATTACTAGATTTCTGTTCAATGGGAAATAACTCCTTTTTTTTTTTTATAGATTTGTAAAAGACATTGTATTAAGATAAATGGCATTTTGGATTTTTTTCCTTTTCTTTAGTAAATTGTTTGAAGAATTTAGTGGTAGGTTTGCTCCATTTCAATAAATTTTTAACCGGTAGGGGACTATGTATTGCCATGCAATACTCACAGAATGCTTGTTTTTCATGTGGTCCACATGCGCTGTGTTAATTATTTTTTAATGTTACGGTCCGGTAAACTTTGGCAACAAACTCAAAAATTAGCTTGCGATCAATAATCACTGAATGAAATATATTATTTGTTGATGATATGTTATAGATTCGTAATAAATGTAAAAAACGTGCGTACAGGACTTAGTTTAGTATATGTGCGTGCATTGGTTCAATAATTTCGTTAACATTATACATGTAATTACAAGAACCTTAAATTTGGGTCAAATTGTCTTGAGCAGCCAGTGGCGGATCCAGAACTTTTTATAAAGGGGGCCCACTGACTGCCATAAGAGGGGGCCCGTTACAGTCATGCTTCAGTGATTCCCTAAATATGGCAGCAAGCAACATGTGTAACTGTGTAACTCAAAATATTAAAAGTTGTGATAAAATGTTTGGATTTTTCAGCAGAAATGTGCACCAACCAATGGAGATCAATTGAGATGGTTATTTTACAGTAGTTATCAATGAAAGAAGGTAAGACTGTAAATTTGTTACAAAAGTTGAAATGGCAGCTTACTATCTTTAGAATCGTCATCTATTGTTATATAAAGTAATGAGATGTGGTATATATATTGATTGCCAGTAAGACAGCTATCAACTTAAGTCGAAATGACATGGATTTTAGCAACTATCATGACTATTAGATTACCAAATATAGCCTCCAATAATGAGTAAAATCCATGCAGTAAATTTCCAAGGGCATAACTCCTTTAAAAACAGTTGATCAGCACTGATTTCAAACTTTCAGATTTCAGCAATGTGTTGTGAGGGGTATAAATATGTAGTAGAAAAATGCAAGTAATTGTTGATAATATGTAAAAAAGTTAAAAAGAAAGAAAAAGGGGGGGGGGGGGGGTGTTGCATTATCTACTTATATCATCAATTCTTCCAAAACTTGTAAAATATAGTTGCAGGACTTTACACCCTGAAGTGGCAAATGTTTTACCAATATTCATGTCTTTGGGTATTATCTATAAGCTTTAATATGTAGACAGAAACTCATACTGCATGTACTGTGAATAGCAAACGACTAAAACATGTAAAATACAGGTAGTGTTATTTCACTTTCAGGAGAATGAATGTTGTCCCTCTGAATAAGAAGATAACAAACTAGTTTAACCTGCCACCTTCTGTATGTGCCTGTCCTAAGTCAGGAGCCTGTAATTTAGTGGTTGTCATTTGCTGCTGTATATCATATTTGTTTTTTGTCCATTGTTTTGTACATAAATCAGGCCATTAGTATTCTCATTTGAATTGTTTTACAATTGTCATTTGCCTTTTATAGCTGTCCATGTGGTATGGGTTTTGCTCATTGTTGAAGATCGTACAGTGACATATATAGTTGTAAACTTCTATGTCATTTTGTCTCTGTTGGAGAGAGAGTTGTCTTACGTATTGGCAATCATACAACATCTTTTTTTTATATAACAAATTCTGTAAATTGTTAAATAAGTGTTATTATTTATTTGATTTCAGATCAAAAGTGCTACACAACCCAATGACCCCACTGTGCTTTTAAGTTTCCAAAATTTTTATAGGAACCCTCGGAAAAATGAAAATGGAACACTCTTGATATCTGTTTATGACAGATTTATTTTTTCTGCTATTAAATGCTGGGTTAATTTCCTACATGGTCCGAGTACACAGTTATTTCGTAGTGCATTTCTTTTAGACAATAAATGAAAATTAAAAAAATCCCACCTGCGCTTTCTCAATAATATTTTTACAGTGTGTTGTACTACTTTTGGGACAAATTATATCAAAATTATAGAAAACTTCATCGGCTCTAACTCAAAATATGGACAATTTTATGTTAAGGGGGTCTTCAAATCTTTTGACAGCTTCCGAAGTGCTAATTTTTGACATTTTTCAGCTGGACCAAATCACTACTTTACTTTAAAATTCATGACCCAAATTTTTTTACAGTGTCATTTCACCCCCCTACTTGCTATTTGAGTCATAAAACATGGAGAAATAAATTTGGAAGGGGTATAAAAAAAAATAGCAAGTAACACACTGTCCACACTAGGGACTATATTCGTGAACAACGAAAATCAAAGGACGATAACTGTGTACTCGGACCTAATAGGGTAGAAAAAGTTGACCAATCTTAATGAAACTTGGTATGACCAAAGCTTAATAAATTATAACACTGCTTACAAAGTTTCATGGCAATAGGATATATATTATAGACAATATGACTAATTCTATATTCCACTTTGTGTGTTAAACTTAGACGTTAAAATTGAAAAATTTCAACTATCAACATTTAGGGCTTAAAAAATTAAAATATTGCAAAAAAAAACTTTTGAAATGCCTTAATATATAATATATTATGTATTAAAAGCAATAGAGTACTCATTTGATTTATCAGACTTAACATAATTATTAAAAAGTCAAATTTATATGAGCCTGTGCCTAAAAATGGAGGTTTTCCAATGAAGGGGGGCCTTACATGAAGATGTAATATTTTCCAGCAATTTTAAATTTGTAAAGCTTTTTGGCTATAAATAATCCTTACATATGTATTTAATGTACTTTAAATGGAAAGAAAACTTACAAATAACATATCATATTAGTTTAAAAGGGTCTCAGGCCAAGTAAGACTGAAAATAATTTAGGGTCAATTTAGGCCGTAGCACATATTTACATTTAAAAATGCATATTGAAGCTATAGGAAGTAAAAATTTGTGTCTTTTCTATCATTTCTATACTCAGGTGACATGATACAATAAATCTGAGCACAAAAAGACTCTTGCATTCAACTTTTTTTGCAGACAGTATGGTCTGATACAAAGATTTTTCACTTTTTAGTGAAAAACATGCTTGCAATTTTAGTCTCAACAGGCTTATATTTGAACCACTTGCTATCCTACAGAAGAAAAGAAAGATATTATGTGACATGAAACAGCTACAAAAGACATTGTTAAGTGCTTTTTATACAAATTTAGTGAGGTCTTTATTATGGACTTCAACTTTTATGTTCCAAGCTCCTCACATTTAACTTGATCCAAACAGGGCGTTAGACGAGGGTCATATATACAACACATTTTGCACATATTGTATGAGATAATCTTCTTTTCTGTAGATTCAGAGTTCACAAATGAGTAATACAACTGGATTGAAGCATAGAAACACAAATATTGACACATAAAAACCTGTCAGATAGAAAGTCAGAATGCCACTTATGCATCAAAATTGAAAAAGCTATGAAATGCTTATTTTGACCATAAAATGCCCAAATCGGTCATTTTTGCAGAAATTCTATGAAATAAAAGTTTAAATACTTTAGTTTTATGCTATTTGACAAATTGACACCATCAAATCATTCGGGGAAGTTGCCAAAGTACAGATTCTATATTTCCTGATTTCACCTAATAGGGTAGAAAAAGTTGACCAATCTTAATGAAACTTGGTATGACCAAAGCTTAATAAATTATAACACTGCTTACAAAGTTTCATGGCAATAGGATATATATTATAGACAATATGACTAATTCTATATTCCACTTTGTGTGTTAAACTTAGACGTTAAAATTGAAAAATTTCAACTATCAACATTTAGGGCTTAAAAAATTAAAATATTGCAAAAAAAAACTTTTGAAATGCCTTAATATATAATATATTATGTATTAAAAGCAATAGAGTACTCATTTGATTTATCAGACTTAACATAATTATTAAAAAGTCAAATTTATATGAGCCTGTGCCTAAAAATGGAGGTTTTCCAATGAAGGGGGGCCTTACATGAAGATGTAATATTTTCCAGCAATTTTAAATTTGTAAAGCTTTTTGGCTATAAATAATCCTTACATATGTATTTAATGTACTTTAAATGGAAAGAAAACTTACAAATAACATATCATATTAGTTTAAAAGGGTCTCAGGCCAAGTAAGACTGAAAATAATTTAGGGTCAATTTAGGCCGTGGCACATATTTACATTTAAAAATGCATATTGAAGCTATAGGAAGTAAAAATTTGTGTCTTTTCTATCATTTCTATACTCAGGTGACATGATACAATAAATCTGAGCACAAAAAGACTCTTGCATTCAACTTTTTTTGCAGACAGTATGGTCTGATACAAAGATTTTTCACTTTTTAGTGAAAAACATGCTTGCAATTTTAGTCTCAACAGGCTTATATTTGAACCACTTGCTATCCTACAGAAGAAAAGAAAGATATTATGTGACATGAAACAGCTACAAAAGACATTGTTAAGTGCTTTTTATACAAATTTAGTGAGGTCTTTATTATGGACTTCAACTTTTATGTTCCAAGCTCCTCACATTTAACTTGATCCAAACAGGGCGTTAGACGAGGGTCATATATACAACACATTTTGCACATATTGTATGAGATAATCTTCTTTTCTGTAGATTCAGAGTTCACAAATGAGTAATACAACTGGATTGAAGCATAGAAACACAAATATTGACACATAAAAACCTGTCAGATAGAAAGTCAGAATGCCACTTATGCATCAAAATTGAAAAAGCTATGAAATGCTTATTTTGACCATAAAATGCCCAAATCGGTCATTTTTGCAGAAATTCTATGAAATAAAAGTTTAAATACTTTAGTTTTATGCTATTTGACAAATTGACACCATCAAATCATTCGGGGAAGTTGCCAAAGTACAGATTCTATATTTCCTGATTTCACCTAATAGGGTAGAAAAAGTTGACCAATCTTAATGAAACTTGGTATGACCAAAGCTTAATAAATTATAACACTGCTTACAAAGTTTCATGGCAATAGGATATATATTATAGACAATATGACTAATTCTATATTCCACTTTGTGTGTTAAACTTAGACGTTAAAATTGAAAAATTTCAACTATCAACATTTAGGGCTTAAAAAATTAAAATATTGCAAAAAAAAACTTTTGAAATGCCTTAATATATAATATATTATGTATTAAAAGCAATAGAGTACTCATTTGATTTATCAGACTTAACATAATTATTAAAAAGTCAAATTTATATGAGCCTGTGCCTAAAAATGGAGGTTTTCCAATGAAGGGGGGCCTTACATGAAGATGTAATATTTTCCAGCAATTTTAAATTTGTAAAGCTTTTTGGCTATAAATAATCCTTACATATGTATTTAATGTACTTTAAATGGAAAGAAAACTTACAAATAACATATCATATTAGTTTAAAAGGGTCTCAGGCCAAGTAAGACTGAAAATAATTTAGGGTCAATTTAGGCCGTAGCACATATTTACATTTAAAAATGCATATTGAAGCTATAGGAAGTAAAAATTTGTGTCTTTTCTATCATTTCTATACTCAGGTGACATGATACAATAAATCTGAGCACAAAAAGACTCTTGCATTCAACTTTTTTTGCAGACAGTATGGTCTGATACAAAGATTTTTCACTTTTTAGTGAAAAACATGCTTGCAATTTTAGTCTCAACAGGCTTATATTTGAACCACTTGCTATCCTACAGAAGAAAAGAAAG